CTGGCCATCTGTATGTCCTCTTTAGAGAAATGCCTCTTCATATCCTCTGCCCATTTTTTAATTGGGTTGTTTGCTTTTTGGTGTTGAGTTGAATGAGTGTTTTATAAATTTTGGATATTAAACCCTTATCAGATATATCATTGGCAAATATCTTCTCCCATTCAGTAGGCTGCCTTTTTGTTTTCTTGATGGTTTCCTTTGTTGTGAAAAACCTTTTAAGTTTGATGTAATCCCATATGTTTATTTTTTCTTTTATTTTCCTTGTCTGAGGAGATATATCAGTAAAAATATTACTGAGGGTGATGTCTGCAAATTTACTCCCAATTTTTTCTTCTAGGAGTTTTATGGTTTCAGGTCTTACATTTAAGTCTTAAATCCATTTTGAATTTGTTCTTGTATACGGCATAAGGAAGTGGTCCATTTTCATTTTTTTGCATGTGTCAGTCCAATTTCCCCAGCGCCATTTATTAAATAGACTATCTTTACTCCAGTGTAAATTCTTGCTTCCATTGTCATAGATTAAATGACCGTATATGGATGGGTTTATTTCTAGGTTCTCTATTCTGTTCCATTGGTCTACGTGTCTGTTTTTATGCCAGTACCATACTGTTTTGATTACTGTAGCCTTGTAGTATGGTTTGATGCCAGGTAGCGTGATACCTCCCACTTTGTTCTTATTTCTCAAGATTGCCGTGGCTATTCGGGGTCTTTTATGGCTCCATATAAATTTTTGGATTATCTGTTCTATTTCTGAGAAAAATGATCTTGGTAGTTTAATAGGAATTGCATTGAATCTATATATTGCCTTAGGTAGTACTGACATTTTAACTATATTAATTGGGAACTTGAACTTCTGAACTTTCCTGTGCCCACACCTGGGCGCACAATAGTTTGTTGTGTGTCAATTCCTGGCCATACATCCAGCCTTCAGTTAACCACCTGAATGACGGTGTCCCATGGTCCGGGCCACCGGACGCCTGACGATCACCACCTTGGACCAGTCCAGGGGCTGAGAATGCTGGGTGACTCTCCTGAATGCGTGTTTCCCTCTTTCTCCCTGGGAACACTCTGGGGGTTGCCTCCTAGTGTTTCCAGTTTGCAAACCCTAAGGCCTGTGAATAAACCTTGGTCATTTGTTTCTAGCCAAAGCCCCCTGACTGAGTAAGCCCTTCCGCCACTCTGCATGCCACACGGGTCACACTGTCTGCTGACTGCCTGTCCCCCTCAGCAGGACTTCACCTCACGCAGCGTTGCGTGCCAGCCTGGCACGTGGGAGAACAGAGAAAGCCTGGGCCCAGCACGCAGCCCAGGGAACCAGGGAGGTGTGTGTG